GGTGTGTTATAGTTCTGCAAATTCAACCGATGTCTAACTGTTATTCTATGAACCAGTAACAAGACACAGCCTTTGAAGATGAGATAAAATGCTGTATGTTTACAAAAATTATATGTTAATAGGTTTGAATTTGATTCAATAGCAAATAAAACACATTGTGTGTTCTCTTCTACATTTGAAAACAATTATAACACATTATGTTTCTTGTCCTTGTGCTAAATCGTTAAAGAACTATTGAAGATTTCCGAGGCTGAATCTCTGACAAATGTCAAACGTCGAACCAACTTTATATTGGTTCTCTATTGTCAATAACAAAATGCCCATAAAACCCAGATGTCTATTGATTGTCGTGTGCCACACCGTTCATATGTGAGCGGCATTTGCTTCGTTAAATTTCATGCTGTATGCACTTCAAAAGTGTCAACTTCAGAACTGTTTACCAAGTAATTTATTGCTTTATTTCAACACCATGATACTAACTAAAGGCACTGATGCCATGTTGTTGTTGTTAGACCTGTTAGACGTGTGATAAAACAGTTATTTAACAACTCTAAGTTAATCTAGTATAAAGTGTGTCTTGTTTGATTTATTTTAATAATTAAGTTCACTGTTTACTTTTCTTTTTTTTAATGGGATGTTACATTTCTTGTCAGTATCTAATTTCATCCAACAATGTGCTGTATTTCTAAGAGGCAGTCAGGAATTAAGAGGAAATGGCCAGTCAGTCCATGGAGGTTGTAGCGAAAGCTCTGGAGCAGCAGATGCTGCAGTCGGCACGGATAGTGGAAGAGAAGCTGGATGGCGAACTGGAGAAGTTGGAGCGCATGGATGAAGATGAGTTGGAGCGACTCAAGGAGAGAAGGCTCGAGGCCCTTAAGAAAGCTCAAAAACAGAAGCAGGTAGCTATTATAGATGTTTTAAAGAAATCTTGGTCTAAATTTGGAACTTGTTTTAAATGTAGTATTAAAATGTTTAATCAAATTGAGTTGTCCACATTACAGTGCATTGAAACAGATCAGAATCCCCCACTAGTGTGATTAAACTTTGCGGTCTGTTGTATGTGTCTGTCCTCAGGAGTGGATATCTAAAGGACATGGTGAATACAGAGAGATCCCAAGTGAGAGAGATTTCTTTCCTGAGGTGAAAGACAGCAAAAGTGTGGTCTGCCATTTCTACAGAGATTCTACCTTCAGGTATTTGAGGACATTTTTTTTCTTATACTAACCTTGCATTTTGTATTATAAATCAATTGTGTATACAGATTAGTATTAATATTGTCAGCCATTTTTTATTTAGTCTTAGTCTTTTAAATTAGTCTTAGTCCTTTGTCTCATACTTTTTAGTTATCATATTTAGTCAACCTTGTCCTGTTTTTGTTTAGTCAAGTTTTAGTCGACTAAATGTCTGAGCATTTTGTCTAGTTTTAGTCAATGGAATATTAGTCACATTTTCGTCATGCTGTATAATAGTTAAACTGATATATATATTTTTGCTCAAAATAATTATTATCAGTGTTGTCATTTGAGAAATTTATTTTCGCATTTCAGGTAGTGTACTTTCGCCAATAAGCACAAAACAAAGAATGTGGACTCATACACATGGTTTATTTTCTATTGTACTTATTATTATAGGCTATTTATTATAGAAATTAACATCAAAGACTTATGTGCTCTCTCTGACTACATAATGAAAACTAGTAAAACAAGCAAAAAATATTACAACCGTGAAATTCCTTATGGTAATTCCAATAATTCCAAATTGTAATAATGTTTCTCCATTAAAACAACAGCGGTTGAGTAAGTGCATTTATTCAGCAACCACAATCAAACAAAATAGTCGAGATCTCATGACAGAACACAGACCGGCTGAATGACGCTTTCATTTAAGCTGAACATCTCACATGGAGATTTCTAAACTTCAGCTTACTTGTTTGCCGGTGTTATCAGATCATCGTCGGCACTTCCGCAATGAAGAGCGAGCATGTGGACATGGTTGCCAGATTGCAAAAATTTAGCAAAACACCAGACAGAAAGTATCCTTTTAAAGGGATAGTTCACCCAAAAATGAAAATTGGATGTTTATCTGCTTACCCCCAGGGCATCCAAGATGTAGGTGACTTTGTTTCTTCAGTAGAACACAAATGATGATTTTTAACTCCAACCGTTGCAGTCTATCAGTCGTATAATGCATGGCAATGGTAACAAAATCTATGAGAGTAAAAAAA